CCAAAAAGAGAATTGAAATTTGTTCTATCCCATTCATCCCTACTTCCTCCAGACAGAACCTCCCCAGCAACCAAATGATGACTTGAAAGGGGTCTTCAGCAGCCCCTTTCCCACCATAGATGCATGAAGGGCAGTGCAGAAACAACCAAGAAATTGGACTTTTTCCAGTATCCTAAGAGAAATGATGGGAAAGGAAGCACTAAGGTCTTGTAGGGGATTAATTCTCCTTTGAAGGAAAGATAGAAAGGGGAACTGTAAGGCAATGAAAGGGTGGATCAAACAACAGGCAACCACACACGATCACACAAAACACACATGTTACTCTACTTATATACTCTCCATTTCCTGTTCTCCAAGTCTGGTTCAATGCCTTTTTTTTTACAGACCGACATCAAACCTGTTATTTTTATTCTTTACTAAAAATTGGCAGTCATAGCCACCTGCCCCAATGCGAAGTGAAACTACAGAGAAGGAATACGATGCTTTCTCAGCTCATCACCAATTTCTCTTTTCACTGTGATTTGGAGGCCCCCATCAGGACATGAAGGGCAATAATCAGCCTCGTCTTTTGCACGGAAGTTGGAGATGGACGAGGGGCCGAATTGGACGAAGGGTCAGCTGAACCGGAAAAATTACACAGGGTTTCCTGATGAGACAAACACCTTTGAAATTAAAGGGATATTTCCCAGGAAAGCATTGCACGTCTGAAATATGATGACAAAGAGAAACTTAGATGCCATCAGACAGAAATGCAGTTTATGAAGGTTAGGAAAACCTTCCCTGCACCCTTCTCCTCCATTCTCCTGTACCCATCATCCCCCATCCTGGGCATTGAGGGACTTCTCTGCAAAAGGTGATGAACTTGGAGTAATTTCTCTCCTGCTTCATCAGCTCAAGCATCCCAGTGATAGATCAATGTATGTTGCTTGTGGTTTCATTCTCAAGAGGAAGAGTGAAGGTTTTTGTCACACTTCCCCATAAGAATTCACTACTGTGTTTTGGTGACTGATTCATTTCATTTAGTATGTGGTTGGTTGAGTTCAACATCTAGCGTAGGAGATCCACACTTGAGTTTCAATTTTTATGAACTTTTCATCCTTACATCCTACAGGCATGGGGCACATTTTTCCTATGGACCATTGTTTTGCCTGCGTCTTCATACAATTCCTTATTTGCCCATCTCCCATCTACTGTCAAACCATCTGACTATCATCTCTAGCTTCTACAATTTGAAATCTTCTTCTTTCAAAAGAAATTATCTTTCCATTGATGTATAATTTTATGGTACGACTCCAAAACAAAATGGTGTTAGTAACTATCAAACCTCAAAAATACACTTTCCCCAAAAGGTTCCTACAATTTTGGCCACTACTGTACATTTAAACACTCTACTTGGTTTCAGGATCCACTCTTTCTCCAGGGAAATATTTAAAAGGCATTTTTTTTCAGAATACGCTCTTTGTCTGAAGAGAGAAATTAGAAGTTATAACTTGTAATTGCTATGAGGCCCCTGATACTGAATGCAGAAGTCCCATGTAGGACTAAGCGGAGGGGTTGTGGTAAAGGATGATTGTCACATTTCCAGTGGGTGATACAATTATCCTAGTAAGCAAATATTCAACACTTGGTCTCCTCAGTGGCACATCTAATGTAGGAGAACCACACATGAGTGTGCAAATCTTTACTAAGAGTCCATCCCTGCGCTCAACAGCCATGCCAAAAATGTGCCCCAATGACCACTATTTAGTGCTGTATCCTCCTACGCTCCTTTTTTTCCTTCCTCCTGTTCAGTGTTGAACGAGATGAAAATGATCTCTTCCTTCTCCAATTTTTCATCTGTTTCTTTCACAGCTTTTGCTCAGAAAACAAGAGCCATGGGGCTGTTTGCTTCCCGTGAACTTCTCTCTGGTGCCTTTCACCTCCGTGGAAGAGACTGAGCGAATCCTTTCAAGATGGAAATCAACTTACAGGTCTTTCTTGCCTTCATCTTCAGTTCAAGTGTCCACGGTCACAGGTTAACAGTTGTTGCTTGTGGTTTCAGGCAGAAGAGGCAGAGAGGAGGTTTTTGTCACACTTCCCCATAAGAATGTACCACTGTGTAACACGGTAACTGCACTGTTCCAGCT